TACCCACAAAATTGTTGCTTTCTTTGATTCCTTCTGTTGATTCATTTTAGGAGCAATCCAAAGGAAGAACAAACAAGACATTAGATAGTATAGTACGGAGAGTTTCGAGCATTATCAGGTAACTCGGTGTGAAAACTCCTCGATTCGATGTTCTTGATTTTCCTTTCTTTTTTTTTTTTTTTTTTTTTTTTTTTTGCATTTTCTATGAACAGACGAACAGATTGTGTATATGAATTTTTGTTTTTTTGATAATATTGAATACTATTGTTTTTGTTGTATGAATTTTTTAATGACCGTGGATCTTTTGGTCATTGAGATTTGCGACGCGTCGAGGTTGGTGGTGATGGCCAAGGTAGTTTGACGATATGTCTAATTTTAGACAACTTATTAATTATTTAGAAGATTAAATCATATTGAGCTGGAACCAACGTTTAATTTGGATCTTCAAGGAGCCTGCGCTGGACCTGGGAAATTGTTTCTTTTGCCTTTATTATTAATCTTTATATAAGGTCATACGCCATTTCTAAAAAAGCGTGCCAAGTAAGTATACGTGGGGACGTTTAAGTAATTTCTCGTGTAGCTTTGTTTTCTTTCCTTTTTTAACTTCATTCCAAAATCTTCCACGGCTCACAACTCATAAAAGGCCTATGTGCTTGCTTTTATTTACAATACTGTCCTTGGAAAATGTCTTTTATGCATTGATGCCTCAATCTTTTTTCCTGGACTCCTACATTTCTTGCGGCAATGAAGTCAGAGGGTAGATTATCAATTTGCAGGATGATTAATGTGAATATTATTGACCAAACCAATTTAATGTTTAATTTCTAATTACATGTATAAATATATTTATCAACTTGTTTGTTTTCATTCTAAATTACAAACGCCATTTGATTACGATTCTCATCGTCGACTCATCGCGATTTTTTTCGCAACAAAAATTTAGAAAGTTTCAAAAACCCCTAACCCTCGATTCGTGTGCCAGAAGATGGGTTCAGGAGAAAAACCGGGACAGCACAAGCGCTTCCTCCATCTGACCCAATTTCCCTGCGCATAACGGGTGCGGCTTCTTTGGCAAAAAACCGGCGGCAAAACATGAAAACCTCTGCTCCAAGTGCTACGTGACCTCCCGCGCCAACGAAGAAACAGCTGCCTCTGCCAAGGGGCGGCGATGGAGAAGACGCTCAGTATCAAATCCAAGCAAGAGGATTTTATTTGCTGAATATCCATCAAGTGGTTACTCCAAACTCCTCCTCTCCTCCTTCCTTCTGTGCAGCGTGGTTGGATATGAATCATTCATCATCTTCATCATCGGCAGCTCAGGTGGCTGGTTGCCGATCAAAGCTTCCGCCTAAGGCGGCGACTAGGTGCTTTAGCTTTGCAATAAAAAAAGTTGGCTTGACTTGCGATTTCAATGCAAGTGCGGAGAGTACCTTTTTGTTGGAATTCATCGGTACCCAGAGAATCATTGAGTGCTTCATTTTGATTTCAAAGGGAGCTGGTCGCAGTGCGATCGCAAAGGCGAATCCAGTTGTGAAGGCAGCATAAAGTTGAGAGGATCTGATCCTCAATAGACAATTGGTAATTTGGCATTCTTAACGGGAGTTCTTCTTAATTTTCTTTTGGTTCTTTTAATTTATTTTTCTTTATATTATAGATTATTAGTGTTAGCGGGTCAAAGGGTTGGTTTTTAATGCTGGCTTTGGCTGTTTGGTTAGTGCTATGTGGAATTAGTAAGGGGGAGCATAGGCTGGATGAAATTATGGTTGCTTTTGGAGGAGAGATCCATTAACCAAAAATGGATATCAGTGGATTGTTTGCTTTCAAATGCTTCTCGCTTGCCTCTTTCTGTGCTTGATAAGAATCTTTACCACATGTCTATGTATCTTCTATCTATATCTATTTATGTGCTTCTCTGTTTGTATATGACTATAATGTCAGTCCTCCCCTTTTTTTCTTCTATATTTATAATTTGCCAACATTTGGCATCTTCCTCTGCATATCTTCTTTATTTTGCTCCATGTGAATATTTTTGAGTATATAAAAATAGTGATAAAATTCAAGACGATAGCTTAAGTTGTTGCTTTATTTATTGCTCCTTTGGTGGGCTTCGCAGTTCGGTCACTATTCAAGGTGTTATGCTATCCCATCGTCTCAATCATGCTTGTATGTTTCCATTTGTTTATTGGTAATAACTTACTCTTGATTGCAGTGTGTACTGGTTTTATGCTTTCTGTCTAGTTATATACTTAGGGTTCATTCATAAAGCTAAATATAGATATGCTTGCATCTTTCACTCCCAACATTTCTTTTTTTTTTTTTTTTTTTTTTTTTAATCCCTGGATTCCAGTAGTGCATTCTTGCTTCACTTTTTTTTTTTTTTTTTTTTTTTTTTAATCCCTGGATTCAGTAGTGCATTCTTGCTTCACTACCTCCTTTATTATAGTGCTGTGGCTTAATGTTTGTGTTTAATGTGAAGATTTCCATCATGTAGTGTGTTTGGCATTGTTGATTGAGAAATAGGTAATAAAAATTTATTTTTTATGTTCCTTTCACATATTCTAATCATGAAAATTTCATAACAAAACAACACCCAGTAACTTCTATTTCCAAATTGTACCTCTTAGTGTGAGTTTCAAGGATTAGTAGAAACTGGATTTAAAGTTGTGAATGGTTACATTGGAACAGTAGTTGGATTAGGAAGCTCTCTGATCCCAGCTTCTTTTGCATTATAGTAGGGGGTTTGGAGGATAATGCTGTCCTCTGGTTTGTGGGACAAACTTGAACTTTGTTGAACTCATCGCAGAGGGCTTTAGATTGTTAACTATAGCATTCTTGTTTTACTTGTGTTACATTCATGATCAACAGTAATCGCGTCTTTGAGAGATGTTCGGAAAAAAAAATATATATGAAATTTTTCTTGAACAATTAGAACCCGATTGGAAGGTGAAAATGGGAAGTTAGTTTGTAAAATTTTACTAGATTAAAATTGGAAAGGAGGATAAAATTTATATACTGTATTTGGTGTGGATTAAATGATGGGATGAGTGTTATAAGTTTCAATATGCATTTTGCAAGTCTTATTCTGCTTGGCTCTTGTTTCTTTTTTCCCACACAACTACAGGCAACCGCTGAGGTCTTTCCGTGGTCAGCCAATGCAAGTTCTTTTTCCCTGGTCGGCCGTACTTGAAGCCCAATAGGCTCTGCATTTCTTTGCCATTAGCAATGTTTTTCTTTTAGAACTGAGGAAGAAGGGAGATAGATGGGGCAAAGTTATTGTGAGCCAAATCAATTGTTCATTTGCTCCTTTGAACTCTCCTTTTCATCCCTTCCTTTTCCTAATCTTGTTCATGTGATATAATAGGGAAATGCATCTTGATCTGCACAGTTAGATTCTTGGCTCCTAATATTTTTGGCATTTTGAGGACTTAATTAGTGTAGAATTATGGGGTTTTGATGTGGGGATTAAAGAAGAAACACTGACATTTGATTTCTCAAAAATTTTAGAGCTAAAAGCCACAAAATTGGATCCTGAGCCCAAGCCAAGAAGATTCCCTATCCAATCTCTTCCAATTGGCAAATAAAAGAAAGCAAGTAAGTAGGCACCTATAATTGAATGAACACACTACAGTGGAAGTGTGCAGCTTTTATTTATGATTATTTGACACTTGTGGTCTAAATTCAATGCAACTTCCTTTCACCATGTGCAAAACATCAATTTATGCAGGTCAAGAAATGTCTAGCCAAGCCAAGCCAACCCTCCTTCCAATTCCCCCTTTGAGAGGTTAGAGTGATGGTCCAAGGGGAGGCAAAGATGTTAAATATAAGCATCATCATCATAAATTATTCTTTTTCTTGATCTTGTTGCCTGAACCAACATGAAGTTTCTTGTATAACAACATATCATGTGGCAGTGGAACTATTACTATCTGCTAATTCTTCTTCACTTCCATTGTTCATTTCTTTAGTTTATGAATGACTTCGCTAGTACTTGAACATAGGCGTTGATCTGGTTTTACATAGGACAGTATCTATATGTTCCCTACATGACCTTATAAAAAGTACTCTTTTTTAAGGCACTTTAAGGACCACAAACTCTGGAAAGTAAAATTGACAAGTCTTAATCAAAAACCAAAGTTAAATTGGAAGGGGAAAAAAAAAAGAGAATTAAAGGTTACCCATAAGGCCTGCCATGCTGGAGCAGACTACTTATACCCTGTTCTTTTTTTGATGCAGTTATGGAAATCTCTATCAAGCCAAGCATTTCATACCTTTCCATTTTTCCTTTCTTCAACTTTATAAGTTCATTGTAAAAGATAAGCATTAATGGAGTGTAGGGAAAATAATCAATGGAGCTCTCATCATGGAAGAAAAAACATCCCCCACTGCTCAATTACTAACCTTTGGACCATATATAGCTATTAGTTATCTTCTTGGACCATTTGGTTGTGTGTCTGTCCTCTAAACTAACTTAGAATCATGATCACTTGCATGACAATTTGTGCACTATTGGTCATCCTATTTTCACAATGATTCTTGTTTTCTAAGAAATAAAAATAAAATCTTTTCAGTTTTCACTTTTTTTGACGTGCTTAATATTAAAATGAGCAATATAATAAGAAGCCGCTCTTCTTTTTTATCATAAACTTTATTCTATGTAAAAGTTTTCAAATTTGCGATTGATGCGAACAATTATAAGAGCAGTATTATTGTTGTACAGTAAATAAAGAGAAACTTCTTTTGTGGAAAAAGTATGGATAATAATTAAGGATAAGTTGTTTTTTTTTTTTTTTTTTTTTTAAAGTGTTTTTTTTGTTTTTTTTCCTTCTTTTTAAGTCCCTAAACCACAGAAGAAGGAAAATAGAGTGTTTGATTGAAAAGAATTTTTTTTTTTTTTTTTTTTCCTTCTTTTTTAAGTCCCTAAACCACAGAAGAAGAAAATAGATTGATTGAAAAGAATGATTAGTTGAATTTTTCACAGGTTGAGGTTGAGAGGGTCCTGGTGCAAAAATAGACATATGAACTGCTGGAATGGTAGAACAGGTTGAAATGTTAAATCATACACATTCTTTACATTAACTTTAATTGGGTTAGGTGATATTTGATCTGATCGAACCTTCTCACCACTTAGATCTGCATACTGCCATTCTATCTTCTCAAGGTTGATTTAGCAATCCCATCCTTGTCAACCACATAATAAACGCATGCTAATTGACTGGAAGAAGCAAGCATCAAATTTTTTTTTTTAACCATCCATATATGAAGCATGCTGATCTGATCATCCTAATAATCCAAATTTGCCAACACGAGAAAGAGCTCACTCCCAAATATTTAAAAGGATAATATAATGAACTTTTAAAAATAAAAAGATAATTACCATATCATTGCTCTAAGTCTCTAATAGTACATTAAGCACGATTAAAGTCGGTTAAACCATTCTTTTTAACATATTATTTGGTTTATGTTTGGATACACAAGAATTACCACATTCTACATATATGTAACTTGACAATTTGCAAGACATCCATGATTGGTGCAACCCATGGCTTAAAAAGCAAAACTTTCTTGCCTTTCTTCTTTTCTAGCTAGAATGAAATAACCCATAGATTATTGTCTTTTCATTGTCTCTAAGGTTTCCATCAATGGCCCTCAATGCAAATTATAAGCAAAGTCAATGTGAATAGGTGAGTATGATTTGAAAGGACATTGGATTTGTTTACATTACAAGACCAATTGTTATATGTTAAGATTGTTTAAAGTTTACATGTATCACTTTGCTTTAAGCTAAGCTTTGGTTTTGAAAATATATATGTATGTATATATGACAATATTTTGAACCTTTGAAGAGGCTAGTTCCCTTTTTGGCACGTTTGAATTTGAATGTGTTTGTGCGTTACAACTTATAATATCAATACATTTCAAATATTTCATATCCATTCTTGCTTTCCTCTTTTTCATGCAAAAGTTCTTTTCTTTGTCATGATTTTGCTTTTTTAAAATTTCTTTGCCTGCAATCCTGCAATATTTCCAGACTGTCCTTTCTTAGTTTAATAGGATATCATCTCTAATTCAACTTAATTAGGTACCAAATTGTTAGCTAGGTTCACAAATTAAATACAATGCAATCAAAAATTGTTAATTTCTAAAATTATTTATATCAAATAATTTCTCTAATTCATATTTTTAGGACATTAGGAATTATAAAAATAAGAAACAGTTAATCTTTTACCGGACAAGAGAGATGAAATAAGAGCGATTCAATTAGTAAATAAATTTAGCCGCTAAAATTTATATTTTTTTCCTTTTTCTAAGTAATTAAAATTCAACAAGAAATTTAAATTATAACCTATTAATTTTTTAAAAAAAAAAGTTTACACTCCTTGAAAGTTATGCAGCAGTGATAGCAGAATCATTGTAATCATAATGTTCTTAGTCCCACCGTGTACTAGGGTGATTAAGCCAAAATCAAATTTGAAACTCAATCATGTTAGTGAGTATTATATATATATTTTTGAGAACTGAGTTAAAGTTTGCTTTATTCTATTATCACTTTCCTAAGCATTCTTCTTTGCGAATATAAAATGAAAACATTCAAATTAATATTATAATAAGATTTAGAACAGAAATGGCCAAAAGAAAGATTTGGAGGAGCTTTTTCGAATTCTTGAAATTATCAACTTTATATCATGTTTCTCGGCAATTATTTCTTTAATCATGTAAAAACATCCTTGATAATATCATGTTAATCTTTTTTTTTTTAAAGATTATTCTCGTCCTAAATATATAATAAAAGTCATTTAAAATGTACATGTAAATATGAAGAGACACGTTCAGATAAATTAAGTGTAAAATTAAAATTTTAATAACATATAATCCTATTATCTAATATTTAATATGCATATATAATTCTACTCGCATGTCGTACCATTAATTTTATTAAAATTAAGAATTGTAAGAATACAATTTGTACGATATATCTTATCAGTTGTCACACATAATGAATTTCATATAAAGGGTATGCAATGCAATAGATTTCATGTGAATACAATAATTTGAAATTTACTCTAAGAATCCCTATTTAATTTCAAATAAATCAATCTCAATCAAGTAATTATATTATAAATTATAAAATTTTTTATAAAAAAATGCAGTCCATTCGCTGATCCAATCGGGTTGGTAATTACAAGTTTACATTATACTCTTAATAATCCCTTCAATTATGGCAATTATTTTAACGAACATTATCCAGAAGATAATCAGTTTCACAACCGTCGGAAGTTACAGCCTCCTTTCTATTTACCCGAAAAACAGTTAGCACTAGCAGAGAGTGGGCGAAGGGCACTTCAGTAAACTTAGCCTACCCAGTATCTACCGCTCTATTATGCGTCGTATTTAATTAATTAAACGCACCGTCACGTTAACTTACGGATTTGTATATATCTTAATGGAGGGAGGGACGTTTAAGTAATTTGACAGATATACTAAATAAAGGAGGGAGAGAGGGGAGTTATGAATGCGGGACCCACAAAAGCCGTGACTTGACCTTTACTACTACTACCGGTTTCACTCTACCATCACCACCACCTCTACCACCATCTTCTCTTCTTCGCTCCAACTTAAAGCCCCTCCGGTTTTATCTGTGCACATCTCACACGATTCTCGTTTCTGTTTCTCTCTCTGTGACCTCGTTTTCATAACACGAGCATTTATTGTCTCGGGAACCAAACATTGTGTGAAACAACCTGCTAGCTGTTTCATTGACCTTATGGTAGTTTCGTTTTCTTTGCACTATGGCCACTTCAGGTGTTGGTAGTTATAGAAATGGCAATCATAGCAGCAGGAACTCTCTCAGCAATAACAGCAAAGTGGATAGACCTCTCTCTTTAAACTCAAATCCGAAGAATTCTTTTAAATCCAAGTCCTTGCCGACTTCGGGGCTCCGGAAAAGCGCTCCTGGTTCTCTTGGAGGTGCTTCCGGAGCCGCCAAGGATGGTACTGGAGGTTTGTTTCTGCCTTTTTTTTTTTTTTTTTTTTTTTTTTTTTTTTGTTTTTAAGTGATTGAGAATTGAGATTCTTGTAATTATGTGTTAGGTCTTTTTTTTTTTTTTTTTTTTTGGGAAATGGTTAGTTTTTGAAAGCAGAGTGCAGGGATAACAAAATTTTTTTTTTTTTTTTTTTTTTTTTTGGAAATGGTTAGTTTTTGAAAGCAGAGTGGCAGGATAACAAAGTTTGAATTTTAAGTCATTTCAAAAATAGAAAATTCTATTAATGAAAGTTTGAATTCGCAATTTTAATTTGAACCACTTCATTTAATTGCTTTGAACTGAGAAAAAGGTTGTTTATTCCTCTTTAGTTTCAATTTTCCTGCCTTTTTTTCCTTGGGAGTCGCAAAATTTAGATTGGTTAAAACCGCTTGTCTGTCAATGTTGATCATTACAAACTTCTAATTATGCATTTTTGTTGAAGCTTGTAAAGGATGAATCGTTATTTGATTTTGATTGCGTGTAGTTCCTGGAAGAGTAAGAGTAGCTGTGAGATTGCGGCCACGAAATGCAGAGGAAATGGTGGCAGATGCTGATTTTGGTGATTGCGTAGAATTACAGCCGGAGGTATTTTGACAAAGTTTTAAATAAATTGCATATCCGTTCGATAAGTTTGTACTAATTAAATGCCAGATAACTTCTCTTCTGTATCTCTGTTGATTTTAGCTTAAAAGGTTGAAACTGCGGAAAAACAACTGGGACTCGGATACCTATGAGTTTGATGAATTGCTCACTGAGTTTGCTTCACAAAAACGTGTTTATGAGGTTGTGGCAAAGCCCGTTGTAGAGGTAAAACTTATAGATGTTTTTATTTCTACTTTTTATGGTATACCTCTAGGTTCATTTTACATTTCTTTGCGTTCATTAATGAAGTAAAAATAGTGGCGAAGAGCAGAGCTTTTCAATTTAAACAAATAAATTAGAATGCATTTTTTTTTAAATGGATATTTTTGAACTTAATAAAGATGGTGCAGTTCCTGAATAAATATAAGGGCACTACGATTCCCTTCCTCCTACCTCTAGAATCTTTTTCCTTCTCTGTTTTGGTAAGTTGATTCATTATCAAGAGAAATCAAAGTGGTTCTGTCCTAGTAATGCTGTTGTTAATTATCACCTCTCCAATTAGGTTAGATTGAATGTATTATAATTGAACTTATTCTATGGTTCATTTATTACTTCAGAGTGTTTTGGACGGATATAACGGCACAGTCATGGCGTATGGGCAGACTGGTACTGGTAAGACATATACTCTTGGACGACTTGGAGAGGAAGATACAGCTGCTCGTGGGATAATGGTTCGGGCTATGGAGGATATACTGTCAGATGTTTCCTTGGAGACAGATTCTGTGTCTGTCTCCTATTTACAGGTTGTTGGCCATTACAGAAATTTTTTATTCTAAATCTGGTGTTATAATTAGTGCTGTCTATGCTAAATTATGGAACAGGCATATCTGTCTAATATTTTGTTTTTTAAAAATTTCAGTTATATATGGAGACCATACAGGACCTCCTTGATCCATCTAATGATAACATTGCTATCGTGGAAGACCCAAAGACTGGAGATGTTTCAGTACCCGGAGCTAGCCTAGTAGAAATTAGAGATCAGGAGAGTTTTTTGGAACTATTACGGTTAGGGGAAGCACACAGATTTGCTGCTAATACAAAATTGAATACTGAATCTTCTCGTAGTCATGCTATTCTAATGGTGAATTAATTTGTTTTTCCTTATTTTACGATTAATTACTTTGAACTAGCTGGAAGCTAATGAAAGTTGTTTGAAATTCTGCCTGCATTTTTGAGTGCAACACTAACAGACACCTCAAATACTATAGGTAAATGTAAAGAGGTCTATCAAGGGAAGAGATTCTACTCTTTCAAGTGAAAATGGTAATGGCCCTCACATGGTTAAAAGTTTGAAACCTCCTGTTGTTCGGAAAGGCAAGCTTGTTGTGGTAGATCTTGCTGGCTCAGAACGTATTGACAAGTCAGGTAAGTGCACAAGGTTTGGATTTGAAACATGTACCATTAGCCCATTACCACCTTTTTTTTAACATGGTCTCATGATTGTTTTCCTCTCCTCTCATTTATTTTTCTGCTTCACTCATTTGGGAACCTTTTCTAATTTTTTCAGCATGTCTGTAACTTAAGAGCCTATATTTGTCTTGGCTCTTGATAGGTTATATTTCTTTAATTGTGCTGTTAACAGCTGCATATGCAAGCATTTTCGCCTGTAAAATGCACAATACCTGATTTTGATGGATGACACACTTGTATAACATGGTTAATTGTAACCTGCAAATACTAGGTCGATTGTTGTCTATGTCTGGATGTGTAACCCAGTTAGGAATATGTAGTGTGTTAGTAACACTGAATGAATAAATCTCGCACCTTGGCCCCTGCAATCTGTTCATTTTCAGGGTTAAGGTCACTCTGATTTTTTCCCTATTTTCACTTCTCTTGGGATCATTCTTAGTGTATTGTGCTCACTATCACGTTTGAAATTTGTTTATTCATTCACTATTTTGCAGGAAGCGAGGGACATACACTAGAGGAAGCCAAATCTATCAATCTCTCCTTGAGTGCACTAGGGAAGTGCATTAACGCACTGGCAGAAAATAGTCCCCATGTCCCAGTTCGTGATTCAAAGCTTACTAGGTTGCTTCGAGATTCATTTGGAGGTAATATGTTTGTATATGTGGTATATATTTTCCTTTTGTGCTTAGGTTTCTACTATCTCATGCATGAACACGTCCTTTGGATTCTTATAAAAAAAAATTTGTGGCTCAGAATGCTCATTTATGGATTCCTATAGATTATACAATGGCAAAATTGTCAGTCACTGGATTACATTGGCTTTTTCACTGAATTAAGGGGTTATTTACTGGATAAATAATCATTGACTTTATGCAGTCATGTTTTAATGTCTGTGATCTGGGTGGTTTGAAATACACGTAGAATTGCATAATGCAGAATCAATTTCACTTCCTTACTCTACCCCTTCTGTAAAGTTTATCCATCCACAAAATTTTAGGGGCACCTTATATGGAATTGTAATATCTAACTAAATTACTATAAAATATCAGTTGAACAATTGAAGTTACAAAAGCAAGTCTGCGTTCTTCGATGCAATATTTCAGGTGCCTGACTAAATGAAATTTTAACAGGGACAGCGAGAACTTCATTGGTTATTACTATTGGTCCATCCCCACGCCATCGAGGAGAGACAGCAAGTACTATAATGTTTGGACAAAGGGTGGGCACTGAAGTCACTAACTTTTCCTTTTATATGCTGCAGTACTGTGATTTTGAAGATGGCATTATAGTATAGCTGATGCAGTTGTCAATTTTCATATTTTCCCATCATCTTCAATATGCTGCAGTACTGTGATTCTAGAAATGCCATATTCTTTATCCTTGATATGTCCTTTACTTCCTATTATCCATAATGATGCGATCTCTTCATTTTAGGCAATGAAGGTGGAAAATATGTTGAAATTGAAGGAGGAATTTGATTACAAAAGTTTGGCTAGACGGCTAGATATACAATTGGACAAAGTCATAGCAGAACATGAAAGGCAGCAAAAAGCATTTGAGGTGGAAATCGAAAGAATAACTGTAGAAGCACAAAATCAGATTTCTGAGGTTGAAAAGAGCTATGCAGATGCATTGGAGGTACCTATTTTTGTCAATAAATGAGTTTTGGTTTGTTTGTGGGTGGATGGGTGGATGAGTTTTGGTTTGTTTGTGGGTGGATGGGTCGATTGGTGAGGTGAGAGAATCACTCACATTCCGTTTTTCAACTTGTATGTTAGAAAAGTTCTCGGTGTTGTACATATAATGCTATAATACCTTTTAGCGTTGTTATTCGCATTGAAATTTTCATAAAAAGCTTTAAACATATGATTAACTGATTATTTGTATGAGCTTTGTACATTTTACTATTAGGAATATAACTTTTTTATTTATTTATTTATGTGGGAACAAGCTTTTCCACATTACCCATGGTTTAATTGCCCCTTGAACTTGTTTTTGTTAGTTGTTGTGCTTGATCTGGTGGACTGGATTCTTTTGTTTCTTTTATTTGTTTATTTATTTATTTTTTTGTAGAAAGAAAGAGTGAAATATCAAAAAGAGTATATGGATTCAATAAAGAAACTGGAAGAAAAGTGGAAGATGAACCGGCAAAAGCATACTAATGATGAAAACAAGCCTGGAGGAAAAGATGCCAGTTCTGATGAGAAATCTAAGGGAGAGGTAATTATATAACACCTTGTAGTTTTTCAATTGCCATGGCCTTTAATATTGTTAAGTTGGTGGTGTCACTTCACCTGTGTCGTTCCTCGCATGTGATATTCATTTGAAGCACGTGTTGATTATAATTGAAGGTAAATAATATTGGCAATGTGGAAAGCAATTAGTTTGGCATCAGTGAGCTGTGAAATGCTTAGAAGGCCTGGCTATTATACTTAATTTTCAATAGAAAAATTTTAATATTTAAAATTCATTGCATATGATGGCAAGAAACCAAGCTTATAGAAACTTTTGCTTTCTAACTTTTTGTTTCGTGTAATTAGGCTCTGACTAGTGTTTGAACTAACAACCTCACAGCCTTGGTGACAACTATATTCTCATCAAGGCCAAGCCCATTGATACACCCTAACATTTAATTGCTACATCTTTTGCCTTCCTAGACATGCTGATGTTGGTGTTAAAAAGATCAAAACCTAGGTTTTGAAGCACTTCCCTTAAAATCAATTGTTGGATGTTTTCACTACTTTGATTGTTGTATAGACAATTTTTGGTCTTCACCCTCTCACTTGTGGTGCACAGGATTGCAGGGTTGCTGCTGTGGAGGAACTTGCTGAGGTAAAAAAATTGCTTCACAAAGAAACACTCTTAAGGAAGGCTTCCGAGGAGGAAGTTGATAATCTTAAAAGTCAGTTGGCTCAATCAAAGAAGTCAGAGGTATGTTTTTTGTGTCCCTTGGTAGTTCTTATTCTTCCTTTGTTTGAGTTGGTGTTAACTCTAAACTTGGTATGCTAGGCATCAGGAAATTCTGAGATTTTAAAGCTTCGAAAGATGCTGGAAGATGAGGTGCACCAGAAAGAAAAACTTGAGGGGGAAATAGCACTACTACAAAGTCAGTTGTTACAATTGAGTTTTGAGGCTGATGAGGTATGCTCTTCATGGGAATTACTAGTATGTTACAGTTTGGTGAAAGCTTTTTAAGTTACTTCTAAGAGAGAGATTCGTTGATGCCATGAGCAGCAGGGTGCCATGCCTGGAATTCTAATTGTGAATCTTTTTTTTTTTTTCCATCCTTTTTACTTACCCCACAAATATAACAACTGCAGAAGTGACCAAATGTTTTAAGCACGACTTAAAAAATTAATTGGTTGTTTATTATGAGATGTTAGGGCTTGTGCACTCATATTATTAACAAATGAGTCATCACCTACAATGTTGTGTGCGTATGACACTAAAAAGTGTGACTGGTTGATATCTGGAATCTTAAGCCTGACTATTGTGTACGTTTCAGACAAGAAGAAGACTTGATAGAGGCGGTTCTGAAAAAATTCTTGGTGGCCTAGATTCTCAAATGTCTCAATTTAAGCATCCACAGCTCAATGATTCAGGAAATGGGGAGAAGGCCTCTGTAGCTAAACTCTTTGAACAAGGTAATAGTTGGTGCCATCAATCTATGTACTTTTTTTATTAGGTTGGCTCTGTAGTATAGTTTATCTTCTTTGACTTTTCCCCATAATCTAATCCAATATTTTTTCAGTTGGGTTGCAAAAGATTTTGTCATTGCTTGAAGCAGAAGATGCTGATGTGCGAATTCATGCAGTGAAAGTCATAGCAAATCTAGCAGCTGAAGGTGCATTTCTACCTGTTTCTGAGAACTTCTTTTTAACATTCTTCAACTTTATCTCGGCTTACTTAGAATGGCCATAGTGCTGAATATGCCTCCTTGTAAGCCATTGCAGACTTCAAGTCTTGCTGCAAGTGAATGTGTTAGTTTTTCTTGTTATTGCACTTCCTGATATTGGTGACTCAGAAATGTTACAACTGTTCGAGGGCTTCATTACTGTTCATCCTTTTAAAATATGAAGACCCATTAAATAATTGAATGGGTTTAATTGCTGTTGTTTCGTGCATGCACTTATAGTGCTGCTTGGAGTACAGGTGTACAACATGTAACTGGCAACACTTCAGCATATTTTCAACTTAGAGGATTCTTCAGGACTAATATTGTTTGTCATTAAGAGAGGAATTTCATGTTTGCAGAAGTGGATGATACATGTCGACTTCTAATTGAATTGACGATCACCCATAATGCAAGGACTTCTTGTGTAAAATTTTTGCCATGTTATAGTTGTTTCTCGTGATTTCTTGATACATTTCCATAAATGTTATGATCACTTCTAGGTCAATAATCACTTGCCACACTTATTTCATCTCCCATTAATGATGTGAGATTCCCACTGTGCAGAAGCAAATCAAGAGAAGATTGTAGAAGCTGGTGGTCTTACATCACTGTTGACACTCTTAAGCAGCTGTGAAGATGAAACTGTACATCGAGTTGCAGCAGGTGCCATTGCCAATCTTGCAATGAATGGTAAGCGTTTTGTCACTTGATCTTGTTAAAATCATTACTTTTCTTAATGGGTATTTCATCTTCCTTGCATGACTTTTTTCTATATTCAATCAGAAACCAACCAAGAGCTTATAATGGCTCAAGGGGGAATTCGTTTATTATCCATTACAGCAGCCAATGCTGAGGATCCTCAAACCCTTCGAATGGTTGCTGGAGCCATCGCTAACCTTTGTGGCAACGGTAAACTTCTCGGATAGTTTTAGATGTTTACTCTAACTGAGTTTAAAATGTTATCTGCCTCCTTAGTACCCCAAAACTTGGAAGTTTCACTTGGTTTGATGACTTTTATCTGGCATCGGATGAAAATCTAAGGGGATAAATATTATAATCTGTCAATTCCATACATCTGTGAGCCTGTAAACAAGTAACATGAAGTTGTGCTATCCAGATAAGTTGCAAATGAAACTAAGAGGTGAAGGTGGCATTAAGGCTTTACTAGGAATGGTGAGATGCAGGCATCCTGATGTCCTTGCACAAGTTGCTCGTGGAATAGCGAATTTTGCAAAATGCGAGTCAAGAGCATCAACTCAAGGTAAATTAAATACTTTAGGAAGAGGCCTCATTGAAAAATGCAGTGCTATTTTTAATGTACAACATATTTGCTCTGCCTTTCATGCAATTAACCGTTAAATTAATATTTTCCATTTAAATCTTTATCTAATTATTGGTTGTATGCTAAATTCCAGAGTCAAGTCTCTATTTACATATTATTCTGAATTAGTATCTTAAGTGGTGCAGGAAATAAGAATGGGAAGTCTCTTCTGATTGAGGATGGTGCACTTCCATGGATTGTACAAAATGCAAACAATGAAGCCTCACAAATCAAGCGGCATATAGAGCTTGCACTCTGCCACTTAGCACAACATGGTAAGTTTGCTTCTTCATTTAGACATTAATCAATATCTTGAATTGAATGCCATTTATAAGCAAAGAGTGGTTGAATTGACTGCCTTGCAGAAGTAAATGCAAAAGACATGATTAGTGGAGGTGCACTTTGGGAACTGGTTCGCATCTCGCGAGACTGTTCAAGGGATGATATAAGAACTCTTGCACATCGAACCCTAACTTCTAGCCTTACATTTCAATCAGAATTGAGGCGGCTACGTATAAATTATTGATGAACTTATGCAGATGGCATTGGATTTGAAGATTTAGAGAAGAGCATATCAACTTTAATTAGTTTATTATTGATTGTTTCTCCCTGCTAACAAGAGCAAGCAAGAATACTATGTGCTATATTCTTGTTGAAATTTTGTTATTAATTATTAGGGCTGTGATTTTGAGTCCCCTGAAGAGGTTGAGTACATAGAGAAAAAAGAAAAAAAAAAGCCTCAGGTTTGTGATAAATTACTGTTTCCAAATTATAACACTAGTGAGTCCATCCCTGTATTAGCTTGTAGCTAGTTAGTGTATAAGTTTGTTTGTATATGAAATGAATAGGGGAAAACACTAACATTCAAGCATTTATTGTAAAGTTCAAAAACAGAAAAAAAAAACATTTAGATTGAATATGTTGGCCATTGTTATGTAATGCATACTTTTACTCCAGAGCAATTTATGGGTATTGTACTTTTATATCTGAAAACTAGATTTTCAGGGTGATGTGAGTGTAGAGTGTAGAGTCTGGTATATTGTTTGGAGTTATTGTGGAGTCGGTAGCGATGAAAAGAAAATCTAGAAATAGCCATAATTGCATGTCTGATAGTCTGAGATCATAGGTACTGGACAATCATGGAACTTGTATACGTTATGATTCAAAAGTCCAAATTCTCATCAGATTCGCATTCCTAGAAAACTGCCTCACAATTCACAACACTGCTGAGAACGCAAATTGCACATTGAACAATTTGCGTATCAACACTGCCAAGTGCCAATTTTTATTTGTTTTTTTAATTTAAACTATGTTTCTTTTTCTTTATTTATCCTTTTAACTTTAGCCTCTTAAATTTTAGTAAAGCTTTTAGTTTATATATATATATATATGTCATAAGAAAAGCTTCACACCATACTAGTCAATTTAATGTGTTCCGGGTTTCCCTGAACGCAAAATACAAAGCTTCTATTAGCGAAGACGATTATAAGGAAAAAGTCTAATCTTTAAGTCTCTGTTTTCACATTGAGCAATGTCAAAGTGGGTTTCTCAAGAAATAGAATTATTTTTTCCTTGTACCATAATTTGTTTCTTCATTAGTAAAATCATTATAGGGGCACTTCAACAATAAATGGGTAATGGTTGTTTTTTTTTTTTTTTAAGAATTTAAGAAGGGATTTGAAAATGAATATATTATCAAGTCATTTATAAATTAATATGTAATGTTTTTCTTTCATTTTTTTTTTTTTTTTTTTTTAATTTCTTCATTTTTTTTTTTTTTTTTAAGAATGATTAAAATTTTTTTTTTTTTTTTTTTTTAAGAATGATTAAGTGAATTCAATGAAATGAATGGAAGTGAAAAATGGACCTATATCATAGGTCAAACCATAAAAAGAATTATCAACTTGTGATACTTTCCAAAATTTTAGTCGATTTTTTTAATTTTATCAAAGTTAAGGATATTTTTTATTATTTGGCCTATATAATATATATACGTAATAAGAAAAAGATGAATGGCTTAATTTTATTTTTTGACGGAGTAATAGAAGAATCATGTAATGAAACGACACACCCAGTTCAAATCCGACTACATTGCTTCCAAGTTTCCAACCATTTTGTCGTGTGCGGGCGACAGGTAACACTAACAACAGATTCTGTAGTTCTCATATGAACGGTATATCTTTCGGAAATAGACGGAGGAATAATATCCTTTCACAAATTTAAAATTTTGACGTTGTAGTCTCTTCCAATGAACGCCCGCCGTTCCATGCAGACGACAGGTAAAAAGAGTTGACCGGTCGTTTACATAAGAGAGACATAGTTTTCAAAATAAACAGACAACTGACATAAACCGGATTTCTTCCAAAGCAAAACGTCAAGTTTCCGACTGTGGAGACAATAAGCTAAAACTAGGGTTTGTTTGGCGAGTCGTAACGAAGATATATATATATAAAGAACAGTCGTTTAACAAAGAATATACCAGTGCAGTGCAGTATCATTGAGTTAAATCTTATTTGTTATACTTAATTTATCTTTCATAGAATGAAATGAAATTTTAAAAAAATAATTGTTTTCTTTAAAGAATAAATAAATAGAGTTTAATAATACATTTTAAGAAAAAAATTTTTAAATTTGTTTTTGCACCAAAATATTAGTCAACCAAGTCTGTCTAATGTTTGTCATCGTGAAACATGCATACAAGTCCCAAATAGAAAAACTCTCTCTATGGTCCAAAAATATAAAAAATGTCCAAACTAAGGATTTGACAAGAACTAATGTAGAAATAGCTAGAAGAAGAAGAAAGATTAGTATTCCCAACTATACTATCAATACTTAATACTACGTCTCCAAAGAAGAGGTTATAATATAATATTAGTATAGTATAGTATTATATATATAGTATTATATATAGTATATATATTGATGAGCTGCCAACATTAGAGAACTACAAATGAAGTACCAGTAACTAACAGAGAAATGGTTTATATATATGATGAGCTGCCCAACCATTTAAGAACTACGAAATGAAGTACCAGTAATTAACAGAGAAATGGTTGGTATCAAACCTACCAGAATAATTGAACTTAATTAATGGCAATGGGCTTTAATTACTGATCATACAGAAAAGAAGACAGTTGGGTTCAGGTTCAAGAACCTACCTTTAATTGTGAAGAAATAGGTAGACCACCAAAAAGGAAGATGAAAGGAAATAAGAGAAAAGAAGCCCATTGTTCATGTTTCTTTGCAACACAGGAAAGCAAAAGTACAAAATTATTATTAGATATGCATATATTAAGCATTAAATGATAAATTTAAGAGAAAAACAAAAAAAAAAAAAAGAAAGCAATAATACATATAACACATGGAGGTGTAGCTAACATAACAATAGCAAGTGGAGAGAATCTGAGCATGTTTTTGCTTCATATTTACAGCAAGTCGCTGCCCAATCCAATCCCTAAATTCTTTAAATCTAATGAATTGAAAGAAAGAGAGAGAGATAGAATATAAGTCAGTAAATGGCTTTTTACGGAAGCGTTATGGCTTTGCCTCGGAAAGGAACTAGTTCAGAGCAGTGCACGTGTAAACCAGTACCCAAAATTATTTTGAGGTCTCCATATCTAAAACCGTAAGTTCAGTACAGTAAGTACTTTGTAGACCCAGTAGCTGTTGGGGTTTTTGTTTTACTTACTTACTAACCTCTAACAAATAAGTTACACGCGGAAAACTCAGTATATGCCCATACCTCTGTGCTTCTCGTAAATAGTTCACCACCTTCTCCCCTCCTTTCAAAACTCTCACCTTTAGTTCAACCCTCTTTCACCATTAATGAGAACGTAACACAAAATTATTTTCTATGACTACTTAAAGAAGATGGTAGACGTCAATTAAGTCAAAATATCCCAAATAAATAATATGGACTACTATTATTTTGATACAAAAGAAATATATGTCTGTATCCCTTCAAATAACATACACATAGCATACTATTTGTCCCTTTTGCAAGGAAATATAAAGAAACTGGCATTACTTGATAAAATTTTAAAAATGTTGAAATGCTCATTTTTTCCAAAGAAGAAACAAATTAGGGTATCTCTTATTATTACAAGAAAAACGAAAATTTTAATTATTTTTAATTTTGATTCCGATTTTCGATCCGAAAATTCTGTATACAACTCCATTGTCGTAGAGAAGAAGAAAATTGTAAGAGATGAAGTTGGAATATAACAAACACATTATTCGATGTTTTGTTTGGATCGGGGGAAACTTGCAGCACTACTTATTGACATAATGAAATGAAACTCACCGGATTAACACGTCCTTAAATTTTCCAGTCGTTCAATCAACAATCAGCAGGCATAGGTAATAATAAGCTAAAAATCTTGATCAAATGCAAAAGCAGCAACTCATAGAATATTTTAAAAGGAGTAAAACGAATTAAAAACCTGATGGAGAAAATGCTGAAAACCCAAATTCTCTAGCTAGCTACCAATTAAATTAAGTCTGTCATCTCTTGATAAACTAATTAAGCTGACGACGATGATGACGATGATGATGAGAAACTGAAAACTAGTACAGTACCCTTTGATCAATCTTTAACAATATGGTTAGTAAGGAGGTCGACCGCCAGTAGCCCAATAAGCCTCAGTTGGTAACTGAATAGAATTCAACAGATTTGGCTGCAACCCATGGAATAGCTGTGCGTTTGCTTCTCCTAAAACCTGCTGCGGCTGCTGTTGCTGTTGCCCAACCGCTCCTGGCGACCCAATTCCACCTCCTTGCATAGGTAATTGTGGATCTTCCTCTTCTAACGGAAGCCTTTCGTAAGCTGCGTTACTGAACGAAGCAGCCATAATAACAACAGGACCTGAAGCAGTTAACGTACCAACAACACTTCCACCTACTACTTGCCCTTGACCACCAGCTAAATATATAGTCAACCCCGTCGCAGCTGGCGGAGCTGGCGGTGGTAAAAATGACCCAGCTAGTGATAGTATCTCAAATCTACCATGTAAAGTAACAACTGCACCAGGGGAAGCTGGTTGTCTTAAAGTGACATTAGTTACAGTTCCAGTTCCGCTCATAATAGAAACCCCTCTTTGTCTTCTTCTAGCAAATGTAGCTACACTTTCAACAATATCACACCCATCCGCAACTTCCATGAGATGAGTACGTAAAGCGTTTGCGCTATCGCGGGTGATGATGATTGGAGGCTTTGGCTTGTTCTTGGATCCGGCCGGTCTGCCTCTAGGTCTTCTTGTTATCTCTCCTTGAGAACCGGTTGGGATTAGTTCTTTCCCTTCGCTGTTGTTGCCTTCATCGCGTTCGCGTTTTTGAGACTTGTTAAGGCCAGCGGCGCCGCTACTGCTGCCGCTTTGTTCATCTTCAGAATTGTTGTTGTGTTGTTGATGGTGAGGAAATTGATGGTGTAACTGGAAATCTCTAGTATGGAAAGGCGGTGGAAGAGAATGGCCATGAGCCGTTACTGGATCCATATTGTTTTCCCTTTTTTGACTTTTTTTTTTCTTTTACCTCTCTGACCTAATTAAGACCAAGAATTAATGGAAACACAGCACAACACAAAAGCAGCACTAAACGTTAACGTTTGTAGTGACTGAAAAAGGAAAAATTAAAGAAACTGGTTTAGTGGGAGCAGAGAGAGAAATAAATAACGAGAAACAAGAAAGAGAGAAGGAAGTCTTGTTATCTTGACTACTACTGTTGGGGCGGCTTTCTTTGTTTTCTTGGATTCTTGATTCTTGATTCTTAGACTAATGGTAATGAAAGTGAATTCTTGAGGTATTAGCTCCCAAGAAAGGAAAACATGGGTGGATTATTGGTGTAAGGCACCATAATTAGAGCTGAATTGAACATATATCAAGTAGTGGAATGTACAGAGAGAGAGAGAGAGAGAGAGAGAGAGAGAGAGAGGAGTAGGTGGTAGAGAGAAGATGGGTATGGCGTTTAAGGTTTTGTAATTGGGGGGTTTGGGTTAGGGTTAGATTGAGAGAGAAAAAAACAAAGATGAGAGATGGGTTTGGTTTTGGTTTTGGTAAGACTACTGCGTGCGTATGGGCGGTGGATCGGTCCCCACCATTCTCTCTCTCTTTCTTTGTCCCTTCCAGCACTCCACGTTCTCTCTCTCTTGTTTATATACATATACTATGATTTTTTTATTTTGTTAACTTAATTAGTCCTTATCTCCTAATTTCAACGTCTTTCTTTTCTCCTTTGCTAATCTTAAATTAGTACTTTGTTATCTGGAAAGAAATTTATATTTCACTATCAACCAATAGTAATTCAAAGCAGCAAAATTGATTAAATTTACCTGGAAAATTAGAGATTGAAATATGAAATTATTTCTGTTGAAAAGATTTTAACTTTAAAATACGCATGTACTGTTAGAGATGAAAATGAATTAGGTACAAAAACGATGCATTATTTAAAATTATTAATCAGATACTGTTTGATTGGTATTTCTACGTATTGTAAAAATTGTAGGGAGTAGAAGTTTTTGATTTTGAATCATTTCTCAATATAAAAATTATCATTGATTTAACGAAGGTTACTCAAAAGAGAGGATTATTCTTACTTGCTAGACGGTAATATTATTTTGACTGATTGCACATTCCATGTATAAAAAATAATATATTTAAAATTAAGTAAAAGAAGAGAAAGATTATATGTTTGATGATAACGTGGAAGAAATTATGGTAGCAGGAAGCAAAAAAAAAAGATGACCCACATGGAGCAACAGGTAGCAGCAAATCCTATCTATTTCTGTTTCAATGTTAACGTTGCGGTCCAAATGCTTCATAAGCATGACACGTGTCTCCTCCCCCGCTCCTTCGCGGTCTATTCCTATGGATCTTCACGGTATTTGTCATGCCTTGCATTGCACTTATGACACTTAATTAGGCCTTATCTATTCTTCTTCCTCCGTCGTCCTATTATTAGCTGAAGCTACAAAAAATAATTCTACGTACCCAAAAAATAAATAAATGAAAAAATATATATAAATACTAAGTTGAAATATAAAGAATTTTAGTTGTTTTATTGCATGAAATTGCAACGACATTATAAATTAATTCTACATAAATGTAATTATGCCCTTTTTATAAAATGATAAATTAAACGTTTTAACTAAGCATATTCTAATAATGATTAGTGATTAGATATAATGATTTGTTTAGCCATCTAATGCTTTTTGTTTTATTTTATGGCTGTTTTTTAACTAATGAATTAATTAGCATCCAAATTATTTGTACATATATCAATTAATTAGGTTAGATTTTTCATTTCGATGAGTCTAAAGACATATTTTCATATATTTGATATATGTACATTTCAAAGTTAATTTTTGAGTGTTACTGTATAGAATTCAACCTTGGTCAATAAAATAATGAGCAAACATCATTGTCAATTAAGACAATCCTTTGAATTATTTTATTAGTTGAATTAATATATATTCTTTTGGTTCCATGATTTTTGTTTTGGTTTGATTTCCACACCTATTATGAAAATTTAGTTTAATCATTAAAATTAAATAGTCCATATTAAATTATTCTTGAAATTAATCAAACCGTAAATAAACGTTTGATTAAATAGAGTTTTATTTTAGAGATTAAAGATTGATATTTTAATTTTATTTATATCAAGATTTAATTAATGAAAACGTAGTAATTTGACTATTTGTAGACAAGAAACATATTAATTAAGTGTAAAATAGTAACTTCATATATTATTTGCTTCTAACAAATGAAACAAGACAAAAATTTGAGACAGAGAAAGTAATATATTTTATCTATATTAAGATTAAAATATCGCTGCAAAAGAAAAATTAGCGTAAGATTTGAGTTGTTACTTTAGATATATACACGTTGTGAATTAATAAACATGAGATTTAATTTAGATTTAACTTATGCAAGATGATAATTAAAATTGTAAAATAAATTATAGCAGCCGTAGTAGACTTGGATGCAAGACTAAAACGAAAACCCAAAAATGAAAAATGTCTTTATCCTCGTGTGTAGAGTTAGTGAGAGTTGAAGTTAGAGAGAAGAAAAGGACAGAAAACACTGAATGATGAGATGAGAGACACAAATATTAGTACAGGGTGGAAGGAAGGAAGGAAGGAAGGTGGTAGTGGGTGGCGATGAGCATATGGGGATTGATTGTGGGGTTTGACCGCATAATCCAGAGTGTTTAGTAGAAGGAAGCAAAAGCAAGCAATAGAAGAGATGAAAAACGCGTGGGTTTCGCTGACACAGATTAAAAAAACAACAAATTGAACACGCACAGGCACAGGCTGCTGCTGCTGCTGCCTCTGCCTACACGAGCGCCGGAGAAGCTGCTGCCTCTGCCTGCGACTCATCAATCTGAAACAAAGCCACTCTCTACGCAAACCCATATGTTATATTATTCATTTCTTCTCTTTCCAAAGATGCTCTTTGTCGGCTTCATCTCTCTTATGGTGGCCCCTCTCTTTCATTTCTCGTCTTCTTTTTCTTCCGATCTTCATGCTTATCATCCATTTCTTTCTTTCTTTCTTTCTTTCTTTCTCAGATATATTTTTTATGTCTGTGTTTTTCAAGTGGATAAATCATTAAAATATTAAGCTTTCATTTTCAACACTGTTTATATATTTTGTACTTATGTGAAATCTTGATATTTGAACTTCCATTACAAGTTATACATATATATATGTCCATAAGCATTACATGAAATCTCTTATAACGCATGAAATTCGATTGCAAGTCTTTTTCAATAATTTTGCAAATAAAGATCGCCAAGTGATACAATTTACTTCTACTAATCAAATTGAATTATTTTCTTTCCCCTCAAGCATATAGAAGAAATGAATATCACAAAACCCTAGTAGTGTTTCATGTTGGAGGTATGGAAGGTGGGGAGGAGGGTGTTGGAAATTATGCTTTAATTATTTTGGACAGAATCAATTTTCATATTTGTAATATTAAAATTAATTGCGTAACATCACACATATCTTATTAATTTCCAATTTAGACAAACTCTCATTTTGGAAGGTGCAACAGATTAATCATCAAAACAAGCTAACTTCCTCAATTACCTAACTAAAGATATATATACATATATTAGTACCAAATAATATTACAACAAGTTGACTCGATTTTTGTCTGATTGCAACGTTTTTTAATTATATAATAAAATACATCTCCGTATAGATAAGCTAAATAATAAAGAAAAATACATTAACAATCAATAATAAAAACTATATATACCACAATATCTTGATAACTATTAGCAGAAAACCCAATCTTACGTTAGATCAGATTTATCATATGAACAAAATCTAAAGCAATAAATATTTCCATCCTGGTTTTTCCTGTCTTTTTTTTTTTTTTTTTTTTTTGATTTGCAACTTTTTTAGATTATAGAATAAAATACAATTCTCCGTATAGATAAGCTAAAGATAATAAGAAGAAAAAACTACATTAACAATCAATAATAAAAGACTAGTATATACCACAATATCTAATAACTGAGTAGCGAGAAAACCCAATCTTACGTTAGATCAGATTATCGATATGAACAATAATCTAAAGCAAATAAATATTTCCATCCTGGTTTTTCCGTCTTTTTTTTTTTTTTTTTTAGTTTTTGACTCATGATTTTTTTTTTTTTTTTTTTTTGTTGACTTCATAAGTTCACGGATAATAATGGTGAAGAGAGATAAGAGAGACACATACATAACATATACACATAGTCAATGCGATTTGCATTGACTTTTTAGACACAAATTAATATTAGGGCAAGGATAATGAGATGCTAACCATGCATTAATTATGAGGACAAGTGGGAGAACAAAATTAATTAATTAAGAAAAAATTTGTTCAGAAAAGAATATGCATGGATCATGCATGAATCAAGCTATTTTTTATTTTTCCTTTTGTTTTCTTAAAATTAAAAGATTACGTAATAATTTAGTTTTGTTGATTAATAGTGAAGTACATGTAATTTAGGAATTTAAATTTGAAAAATTTCTGAGAAAGTGAATTAAATGAAATTAATAGAACATTCAACACTTTAAGGCACATAATTTGTCTTTCTCATTGAGTCTGGCCGGCCGTGTTATTTTCTTTGAAAACAAACAAATGGAAAACGGAATCGGTCAACGGAGTACTCACCTCACCTCACCAGACCACCATATCTCTTTTTAACCAATTTAATGTCTTATAGTATAAAATAAAATTGGATGTTAAGTGGGTCTACCCTAAAATCTTCAAACAATTAGAGAAACAAACAAATTAGCAGCCAAAAGATTGCTGCTCTTTAGACTTTTTGCATATGGGAAAATGCCTGTTCCCTTTCTTTTTTTTTTTTTTTTTTTTTTTTTTTTTCTTTTAAACCATTAATTAACCAATAAAAATTCACTATGTACTAACTGTAACTGTCCCAATAAGAAAATCGAGATCACAAAATCCTAAAGTCCACTTCAAAACACATGATTCTACTATCATCGGTCTGTCTGCTTTTGTTTTTTTTTTTTTTTTTTTTTTTTTTCAGTATTAGACTATTAATTAGGTCAGGGATGCATTTAATCATCCATTTAATTGGTAGAATCTTGAAATTATTTTTATATCTTAATAATGGTAGTAAGTGTTAGTAGTGAGTTGGATTCCCTAAGCTTTCAAGGTCACAAGAATTGATATAGTTTTGTCCTTTGTCAAACACAATTTAGGGACCTTGCTTCATCCCCTCAAACTCGTTCAAAACAATGTTGAACTCACGGGCTTATGAAAGATTTATGAAAGATTTAACATTATTTGCATCTTGTAATTCAAATCCTAGTTCAAAGTAAGCAATCGCAATCTTTGAGTCATGTTCGTAAAATTGTAATATGATATCATATGATTTGCTATTATAAACTCCATCATATATATAGATATATATAATATGTATATAATTTTAAAATAATATTATAGTTCAATACTCGTTGATCTAATTTTAAAATAATATTATAGTCAAACTCTTTGAGTCTGTTTTAACATTGAAATTTTTGAATAACTTTTCATAAAACGCTAAAATTTTAAGAA